GTAAAGTGGCACTTTCTATTGTGAGAAATCATCAATTAAAGCTTCTAAACCATAATTTTTACACCTGGACATGTTCCAGCAGGAATGTGATTTGAAATCAGGGAGAAAATGACATCATCTGCAATCAAGATTACGTTTCCCTGATGTTAGCATGTGGCTACATGTTGCAGTGTTTGTAATGTAAACAGCTGAAGTACCATGCCTGAAGCAGATGAACATATAAAGGAATCTGTCATGATCAGTTACCAGCAAATCATGTAGTTTTGCTAATGTTAGTATGTAGCTACATGTAGCAGTGCACTAGCAAGCAGGGAGTGACTGTAACAGAATATAGCAGCACTTTCTACCATAAAAAAAAATCACCAATATTCACAACTGGGCATGTTCCAGACAGAATATGATCGAAAATCGGGGAAAAATGAACAACATCTGCAACCAGGGTTTCACGTTCCCTGATGTTAGCATGTAGCTACATGTAGCAGTGTACTTGCAGTCCACAGCGGTATTTTTTACTTTGGAAAATCAACAATAAAAGCATCAAAACACAACTGGACATGTTCCAGCAGGGTTATGATCCAAAATCAGGAGAAATTAATAACATTGTCAGCCAATATTCCCTGCTTCCCTTAGTTAGCACGTAGCTACATGTAGCAGCGTGGGCTATGTAATGTAAACGCTTTCAGTAGCTTGTCTGGATCAGATGACCATTAAAGAAATCTGACAGAAGCTTGTCACAAAAGTAGATAAAAACGATGGAAACAGTATTCAGAACAGTCTGAAGCCTGAGGGTTTTGCTTACTGCGATCATGTTGATATACCTTTACCTCATTATTTGAAATTTTGGTCATATACATCCAACACTGTAACATTATATATATATGACAGAATAGAAGGGAAGATATAATAGGCCCAATTTAAATGAGTAGAATAATCTTATTATAATATTCATTTTGCAGAACTACTTCCCCATGGTTCGGGCAGCGTACATTGAGGATGAACTCAGCAGACTGGTGCTGGTCAGCGACAGAGCTCACGGTGTGTCCAGCCAAGCTAATGGACAACTAGAGGTACCTGAAGGCAACACAAATATTTATCAGTCTGTCTCTACCTACACAGAAACACATGTCAACCTCCTGTTTCTTTCCCCCTCAGGTCATGCTTCATCGGCGTCTTTGGAACAACTTACCCTGGAACCTCGGCTACAACCTGACCCTCAATGACAGCACCGTCGTACGACCCACCCTGTGGATGATGCTGGGCTCCATCAGTGACACGTCCAAGCTTTACCAGAGGGAGGCAATAGAGCTGCAGCACAGGCCTGTTGTCATGCCCATCGACCAGCCTCGTGAGTGCTCATCTTTTTAAAGGGGTTTTAGGGGTTGAGTTTTTATCAGTTAATTTGTTTCTCTTGCACACTCAGAGAGGCCCTGGCAGAAGAAGGAACCCAGAGGAAGTTCTCCTTTGCGTCCAGTGGTCCTGCCACCCAACCTCCACTTGCTCAGCCTCAGTATCCCTGGATGGAACTACAGCTCTGATCACGATGTTCACCTCAGACACGTAAACTCAGGTCGGCCGTCAGAAGGTTTTTTAAGTCCTCGCTGACTTTTCTCAGGGGATTAAATTCTAAAAAAAAAGTTTGTTGTATGATACTCATCTAGGTAAGGACTTGCACTCGGAGCCAGACTACGACCGAGTCCTGTTGAGAATCATGCATCTCTTTGAGGACGGAGAAGACCCTGAGCTTTCAAAGCCGGTCACCATAAACCTGAAGGTGCAACAAAAACCCGTACTGTCTCCATATTAATGTTATCATGAGGAAAGCCTCGGATTGTGATATTTTTAAAATAGAACTTACATCATCTTTTTCTTTTTCATTGGTCATTTCCTGTGTGAACAGGAAGTTCTGCAGGGCTTAGGGGAAGTAAAAGTGCTGGAGGAGCGTTCTCTCACAGGAACCTGGGATATCGCCCGTCTGCAGAGGTGGAAGTGGAGGACCGCGGACGACTTCGAAACAAGTGGGAAATTCTTGGTTTTGTGTCATTGGCATTTAAATACATTTAAAATAGGGATGTTCCCTGATGACTAATGTCCCTGACGTCTGAACGGAAGTTTAAACTTAGACATGTCGACCAGTCCAAGAGTAAGAAAACTCAATTTAGTCTCTAAGGTTAAACATTGTCTTGTTAGCTTAGTAGCTAACAGAAGCTCGACTAGGAGGACATGAAATTTTAGCGCAAATTTGACTGTCTAGTACTTCTGGTTTCGACAAGCAATGGCAACAGTGCTCAATTGACTGGTCGCGCACATCCCTAATTTAAACAATCTTATATCAATATGTACATTTGATGAAATTCTAGTTCTCTCATCTCTGACGTACCTTGTTGTTTGTGTTTTCTTCCTCTCAGGTAGCGAAAGGTGTTGCGGTGTCAGAGATGAGCCTTTCATTGTGACCATCTCGCCCAAAGAGATCAGGACCTTCTTCGTTCACTTCTCCTCCAGGAACTTTTAGACTGTCTTCTGTGAAGAGAGTCGATATGTAGACATGATATGACAATGCTTTTAAAGGTTTGATTTTTTTGCTACACTGATAATTAATGCTCTTTTTGCACTTCACGATGATTATATGAGAAGCACCGATGTGTTGATGAGGTGCGTGTTCTCACTTAGAGTCCCTGTTGACTTGCACTGAATAAAGTGATTATTTTTGTCATGTTTGTTCAAATGTGTGTGTTAAATGAACCAACCAACACCACAGCAAAGTTTGTCTGATATTGGGGGTTTGATGAGAAATCCAAACACAATGTAGAATGAAACAGATAGACCAAAGAATATTTTCTACTGTAGAAATAATCTCTATGAAAACGGTTGAAATTTTCACCTCCATTGCTTTGCTTAGCTTATCTTAGCTCAGCTTAGCTTTGCTTAGCTTATCTTAGCTTAGTTTAGCATGAAAATCAGAAGCAGGGGAAAACAGGTAACTGGCTTTGTCTGAAATTTAAAAAATATGCCAAATAGTACCTTTAAAGTTCAATAATTAACTTGTTAGATCTCATTTGTTAATCCAACTCTAAAAGTAAATTAGTTGTGGTTTCACAGGAAGTTAAGAACCCCAACACGTGCCTTTATGCTAGGCTAAGCTAATCATCTCCTGGCCCTTGTTTAGCTAACTCTCAACAGACACAGAGTGGTGTCACTATTCTCAGCTTACTCTCTGCAAGAAAACAAGTGAATGTCTCAAAAGTTAAATTCTGTCTCTTCCCTTGTTCAATGACTACATAATTTATTGTTTAAACCCAACTGGGTCATAGTTTATTCGTAACTTCAGCAGACAGGTTAACAACATTGCAGCCTAGCCTGTTTACTCTGGGTGCATCACTCAAAACGGTCCGTGTTACAACACTTGTGTAGCAGCTCTCCTGCAACATAAACAATAGTTCCTAGGGAACATATGTAAACAATAGCTCCTACTGTTCCATCAAAGGCCCAAGTGTACTGGTTAGAAAGCTAAGCTAGTAAGATCACTAAGGAGGATTAGGGCCATGTTGAAGGAAAAAAAAATCTTAGATTTCGAGAATAAGTAAATCTACGACAAGTCATAATATTACGAGAATAAAGTCGTAAATGTACAAGAATAAAGTCATAATATTACGAGAATAAAGTCAAATTTACAAGAACAAAATCATAAATGTGCAAGAATAAAGTCATAATATTAGGAGAATAAAGTCAAATTTACGAGAATAAAGTCGTAAATCTATGAAAATGAAGTCATATGAGAATAAAGTAAAATCTACGAGAACAAAGTCGTAAATGTACAAAAATAAAGTCATAATATTACGAGAATAAAGTCAAATTTACGAGAACAAAGTC